CATACACTCACATACACACACTCACACACATAACACATAAACATTCACATATACACACATGCACTCACATATTCTCTCTCTCCCACATGCACACTCATACATACTCATACACATACTCTTACACACATGCTCATACACTACACTCACATAAACACTCATATTCACACACACACATAACACTCACATAAACATTCACTTACTCATGCACTCACACAACACTCACATACACACACACACACACACACACACACACACACACTCTTCGTTTCAGTGACGCCTGGTTTTTTTCTTAAACAAAACCCTCCGTTCGTAGGCTCTAGGCATTTTCTCTATCTGTCCTTAGTGCCTGGAATTCTCTCCCTCCTCATCCCGACCTCCTAGTTTCTGAGCTTCCCCCAAATTGCAGGTAGAATCCCAGCATCTCCAGGAAGCCTTTCCCCATCCCTCTCAATTCTGGTGCCTTCCCTCCCTGGATTATTTCCTCTGCATTCTATGTCTTATGTGTAACGTGGTTGTTTGTCTGTTTCCCCCATTAGACTGGGAGCTGCTCTTTAAGTCTCCAGAACTTAATATAGTGCCTGGAATATAGTAGGTGTTTAATAAATGCTTATTGACTATGAAGTATTTAATGAGTTCCTACTGTGTGCCAGGTACTGAGGATATTTAAAAGAAAAGAAAGAGTCCCTTCCCTCTCAGGGAGGGGGGGTGGGTTACGCTCTGCTAGGCTGGGGAAAGACAATATTTTCACATAAAAAAATACTTACAAGATAGATGAGTACAAAGTAATTTCAGGGTAGAGCCCCACCTTCTGTAGGCAGCCTTTCCTGGTCCCCCAGCTACTAGTGCCACCCCTTCCCTGGTTCTATCTTCTATGTACCCAGTCATTGTCATTGTCTCCCCGCTGGAATGTGAGCACTTGGCATGGTTCTTACATAGTAAGTACTGAATAGTAATAGTAATACATGGTAAGTACTTGTTGATTGCTTAATTGACATCAAGGGGGGCTTCATGGAGAAGGTGGCACTTGATCTGAGCCTTGAAGGGAACCAGAGTTTCTAAGAGGCAGAGATGTAAAAAGAGACCATCCCAGGCATGGGGGTTTAGCCTGGACAGAGACATGGAGGAAGGAGATTGAATGTCATAGATAAAAACAGCATGGAGGCCTGTGTGGCTGGAATTAGTAGAATTAGCATAGGGGGAGGGATGTGTGATCAGCCTGGAAAGACAGGTTGGAATCAGATCACGTCCAATAGAAGACCTTGTCATTGACCCTGGAGGCACTAGGGAGCCACGGGTGTTTCCTGAGCAGAGGAGTGGCGAGCGTGCTTCCCATTCTATCCTATGACACAGCCCCGTGCACTCAGAATATCAATCTGGCATCTCTGTGGAGGATGGATTGGAGAGGGGGGAGGGGAGGCAAGGAGACCAGTTAGGAGAGGACTATAATCCAGGTGAGAGGTGGTGAGCCCTTCACTACAGATTTATGTTCTCCAATGTCAAATGAAACCTCCCGGCAGCAGGGCAATCCTCTTTGTGTCCTCATGGATGCTTTTCCCACCCTCTGGCTGCTCCAAACCTTCTCCTCTCTCCTCAGGCCTCCCTCCCACAGCCCCCCTCCCAGCTAACGTCCTCAGGAGCCCCGATTTTAGAGACGAGGACGCTAAGGTACAAAAAGGTTGAGCGATTCGCCTCAGCTCACAGCAACAATAGGTGCCCAGGGTTGGGTTTGAACCCAAGGTCTCTGACTTCAAAACCACTGTGCCTCACCTGTCACCTCCTCGCTGAACCCAAGGGGGTTCATGAGATGCCTGAGAGGATCTAGAGAAAGAAGGGAAAAGGCCTCGAACAAAGTCTTAAGGTTAAGCCATGAATAGAGGGCAGGACACGGAAGACCTTATCACATGAGAGAATGGGAAACATTGGTCAGATAGGGACAAGGAGCCCGGGAATGAGCGGTATCCCTGATACCTATGGCGTCCAGCAGGAGGGCGTGGTCAACAGGGTCATATTCTTCAGAGAGGCCAAGAAACAGAAGGACTCAGAGATGCCTCCTGGGTTTAGTAGTAATCGTCATGTTCATCATAACAACCAAAATTTATATAATTTATATCATATAAATAGCGGTTATATAATGTGTGCCAGGCACTGTGCTAGGCACCCTCCAGTTATTATCTCGTTTGACCCTCACAACAACCCTGAAAGATAAAGTGTTGTTTTTGTTGTTATTGTCACCCCCATTTTACAGATGAGGAAACTGAGGCAAACAGAGGTTAAGTGACTTGCCCAGGGTCAACACAGCTAGTAAGTGTCTAAGGCAGAGATCTGAACTCAGGTCATCCTGATTCCAAGCCCAGTGCTCTATCCACTGCACCACCTAGCTGGCAACTTTGGACAGCCTCCATTTCCTCATCTGTAAAAGGGGGGAAATAGTCATGCCTACCTCACGGAAATGCCCTAAAGCTCAAATGAGATAATATATGAAAGTTCCTTGTTTAATTTAAAGTGCTGCAGAAATGTCTATGATTATTATTATTTTCACATTTCTAGATTCAGCTGCCCATTCTAAATTGATAACTTCATTTCTGCCTCACTAGGATAGCAGGAAATGTGTCTATCAATCCCATTTTATGGATGAACAAAGACCCACAGTTCAAGATGCTTGCCCCAGGTCACCTGTTGTTACAGGTCGTCAGGGAAGCCAGAGTCAGGCCTGTCGACCTTCCATGAGAGACGATGAAAAAGAGTCAGGTTCTTCCATAATGAAAGGAAGGAAAAGAGAGATGAGTAAAGCAAAAGGAATGGGGGGAAGAGAAAAGAGGCGAGGGAGGAAGAAGGGAAGGCTTTATAAGCAAAGAAGCTCCCCAGGGGCTGCCATCTTTTTTGCATCTCGGGGTTCTGACCGGTTTAGGCGACCATAGAAGTAGGGATGGAAAACAGCTTTTAGTATGATCCCTCCATTCTGCAGACAAGGAAACTGAGACCTCAAGAGATTCCAATGACTTGTCTGGTCCAGATCGATAATAATTAGCAGTCAGGATTTGAATCCAGGCCTGACAACTCCAATCCTAGCATTCTTTCCACTGGTTCTTAGTTTTCAATTTTATGACCCCTCCCTGCCCCCAGAAGTGTTCTCTTTCTCTCTTTCTTTTCCTGCCTCTCTATATCTGTCGCATCCTCTCCTTCTCCCTCCTTTCTTCAGTCTTTCTCTCATTTGCCCTTTCTTTCTGTCTCTGTCTACCTGTCTCTCTATCTGTTTCTGTCTTTCTGTCTCTATCACTCTCTGGCTTTCTCTGGCTTCTTCTCCTTTTCCTCTCTTCCTCTCCTCTTTTCCCTCCTTCCCTCAGTCTCTCTCATTTGCTGTCTTCTCTCTTTTCTTCTCTCTCTGTAGCTTTCTGTCTCTCTCTTTCCCCTCTGTTATTCTGAATTCCTGCTATTTATGTCTTTTTTGTGTTATTTGGTCCCTTGGCTTAGTCTCATTGTTTTCTGTGTACCTTTGTTCACTCCCCTAATCAACTCAGCTCGGAGTAGGGGGACTCCAATCTTCCTCTTCATAGGGTCCCCTATAATGCCTTATCACTTGTCCTTGTTCCTAGGAAACCCTTAATGTTTGAAAGAACAAATGCATGAGCCATGTGACTTTCTAACAAGGGACCCGGCATGATAGGGTTAACCATTCAGTGGCCTGACAAGGACCCACATCCATAGGAAGCATCCTATTGGATTCCTCCTGGTCCCTGGGACCAAGGTTTTGGAGTGATGGCAGGATGCTCTGGGGACAACTGGTTACCCTTTGGTGCCACCTAGGGGGCAAATGGTGATTTGAAAAGAATGGATACCCAGGAAAAGAATTCATTTGATGGACTGGAAGAAAATCAAACATTTCTCAAAAAATAAACCCCCAAAACAAACAACACAACAAAAAAAAAAAAAACCCTGGTGATTTTTTTTTTCAGAGACTGGAGACCCTGTGGCAGTGGGTGGTCTCTAAAGGGATAGAAAGCCCAGATTTGCAGATCCCCTACTATACCAGTTCAGTTCATCTCAGCAAACACTTATGAGGTGCCTGCTATGGGCACATACAAACAGGATGCTATAGATAAAATTAGGAATAGAAGGGATTTGTGTATTTTCTGCCCTGATGGATACTTTGAGAGAAGTGAGCTGCCTGGATTTCCTATTTCTCCCCCAACAATCCCTAGCCCCTCTCTCCCTGTCCCATCATCCCACCCTCCACTGCCCCAAAAAGAATATAGTCCAAAAACCAGGAAAAATCAAAATAAACCCAGACAGGGGAGATCTTAAACTCTTATCTTCTTCTGGCTCCATCTACTAAACTGCCCCTGGTTCTGAGATTTCAGGTGGAAGGAAGGGAAGGAAATAAGCATTTATTAAGCACCTGTTATGTACTAAGCACTTTAGAAATATCTCATTTGATCCTCACAATAATCTTGGGAGGAAGTAAGTGCTATCATTATCCCTCATTTTACATATTAGGAAACTGAGGGAGACAGAGGTTAAGTGACTTTCTCAGGGTCACACAGCTAGTGAGTATCCGAGGACAGAGCTCTTTCAGGCTGCCATGATGACTGCCTTCTAGCTAGTCCATATAAAAATAGAGTATTTCCAATAAGTTCAGGAAAATTGCAGAATTCTGTCCTCAGTTTCTCTGAAGAAGCCTTTATTGAGAACCTAATCTGTATCTAGCATGTCACTGGGGCTCTCTAAATGTTTCAGTGAAGTTAGCTTGGACATGAAGTGGTGGTCCCATTTTTACAGAAGGTAGAATTATAGCTCAGAGGCGAAGTGACTAGATGAGGTCTCCTGTCCTGTGGCCTTGAGCCTCTGAATTGTTCCTCTCATCGCATTAAAGCACACTGCCAAATGCTAATGGATTTAATTAAGAGCCGCTTAGCTACATTCTTCCTCATAATCTGTCATCCCGATGTCTGCGTCTGCCTCCATTTATCTCCCATCCATTTGTCTCCCCTCCGCCAATGCAGGAGCTCAATAAGAAGAGGACGCAGAAGGAGATGGAGCACGCCATGCTGATCCGGCATGACGAGTCGACGCGGGAGCTGGAGTACAGGCAGCTGCACACGCTGCAGAAGCTCCGCATGGACCTGATCCGCCTGCAGCACCAGACCGAGCTGGAGAACCAGCTGGAGTACAACAAGAGGCGGGAGCGGGAGCTGCACCGGAAACACGTCATGGAGCTTCGGCAGCAGCCCAAGAACCTCAAGGTAGAACAGCTGGGGAGGGAGCCCAGGATGGGGGGGCAGCTCAGAGCCCTAGTGACCTGCCCAGGCACACAGAGCAAAGATGGGCCAGAGGCACAACCTGAACCCAGATCTTTCTGGTTCCGAGGTGGCACCCTAGCCATTGTACCACACTGCCTACCATGGGCAGGAAAATGGATCAAATGACCTCTCCAGTATTCTCTGACAAAAGAATCTTCTGGAATCTGTCATGTCCTTTCTTCCAGCCTCCCAACCAATGACTCTCCCAGTGTGTTCAAGGGAAAATTCAAACTCCTCTCTTTGGCATCTAAAGCCCTTTCCAAGCCTGACTGTGTGGACTTCATATAGCTCTCAACCAAATGAGTTAACAAGCATAAGACATTTTGCAAACCTTCAACTGTTTTGTAAATGCTAGCATAACTATAGCTATAAATATTTACATATATACCTATGTGTGTATGTAGATAGATGTAGATTTAGATATAGATAAAAGTCAGAGAGGTAGAAGATGGGCAATCATGCTCAAGAACAGCTATGGAATAGTCACGGACATGGAGTAGCTGTGGACAGTCATATTCAGGAATAACATGGCTATAATTTAAAGTGTGTAGGTAGATGGATGGATGGATGGATAGATGGCTGGATGGAAAAAGATCCATGGATAGATGGAGAGATGGATGGATGGATGGAAAAAGATGCATAGATAGATAGATGGAGAGATGGATGGATGGATGGACGGATGGATGGAAAAAGATGCATAGATAGATGGAGAGATGGATGGATGGATGGATAAATGGATGGATGGAGAAAGACGCATGGATAGGTGGATGGAAAAAATGCATAGATAGATGGAGAGATGGATGGATGGATGAATAGATGGATGGATGGATGGATGGATGGACAGATGGGAAAAGATACATAGATAGATGGAGAGATGGATGGATAGATGGATGGATGGAGAAAGACACATGGATAGGTAGATGGAAAAAATGCATAGATAGATGGAGAGGTGGATGGATGGATGAATAGATAGATGGATGGATGGATAGATGGGAAAAGATGCATAGATAGATGGAGAGGTGGATGGATGGAAAAAGCATAGATAGATGGATGGATGAAGAGATGGATAGATGGATGGATGGATGGGAAAAGATGCATAGATAAGATAGAGAGATGGATGGATGAATGGATGGATGGAAAAAGATGCACAGATAGATAGATGGGGAGATGGATGGATGGATAGATGGATGGATGGAAAAAGATGCATAGATAGATGGATAGATGAATAGATGATGGATAGAAAAAGATGCATAGATAGAGAGATGGATGGATGAATGAATAGATAGATGGAGGATGGATGGATGGATGGGAAAAGATGTATAAATAGATAGATGAATGGATGGATGGAAAAAGATACATAGATAGATGGAGGGATGGATGGATGGAAAAAGATGCATAGATAGACAGATGAATGGATGGATGGATGGAAAAAGATACATACATAGATAGATGGAGAGATGGATGGATGGATGAACAAATGAATGAATAGATGGATGGATAGATGGGAAAAGATGCATAGATGGAGGGATGGATGATTAGCTAGATAGAAAGAGTTAGATGAACAGATACATACATACACATGCATATACATAAGCACACACATAAACGTATGTGTTTATACTCTCCTAATTGCTGTTCCTGAACATGACTGTCCATCTCCCACCTCCACGCCTTTGCACTGGCTGTCTTCTCATGCCTAGAATGGGCTACTTCCTCATCTCCACCTTTTAAAACCCCAAGCTTCCTTCAGAGTTCAGCACAAGCACCTCCTATTCTATGATTCCTTTCCTGAGCCCCCCAGTTAGTAGCACGTCCCCACAAAATTACTTTGTATTTCCTCTTTATGGATATATTATATTTTGAGAGCCATCCTCAAAGACAAGACCTGGGTTCAAGTCCTGCCTCTGACACATAGTGACTATGTGACCCTAGGCAAGTCACTTCATCTCTTGTTGCTTTAGGCAATTCTCTGAGACTCAAAGGTGCAGACCTATAGTGATAGAGGAAGCTTCCTCATCCCGGAGTTCTCGATGTCTGTGAAGTCAGGGGTCTGGGCCCATCCTTAGAGTCTCTGTGTATCTGTTGCATCCTCCAGCAGTACATCAGCTCCTTGAGGGCATGGGCTATTCTGTTTCTCTCTTTATCCCCAACACCAAGCACCCAATACTAGGCATATGATAAGCCCTTGATAGCTTGAATTTTTATAACACTTTAAGATTTCCAAAGTTTACCTATGTTACCTTATGTGGTCCTCACAGTAACCCTGTGAGGTAGGTGCTGTTATTATCCCCATCTGGCAGACAAGAGAACTGAGGCAGACCGAGGTTAAATGACTTGCTCAGGGTCACACAGCTAGTAAGAGTCTGAGAACAGATTTAAACTCAAGTCTTCCTGACCCCAGGCCCAGTACTCTAACCACTAAGACACCTAGCTTCCTTAATAAATACTTGTTGAATGAGTGAAACTTTCTTCCTAGACACTTTAACACACCAATCCATAGGTGTCCAGTTTGCAACCCATGAGCCTGTCACCTGGCACTGAGGCTGCAGAATGATGGCTACCAAGCAACCTGACACTTGCTGACACTTAGAGCAACTCCCCCCACCCCATACCTGAGCAGGGTTTCGGCTGGCTACTGATTAAAGAAGCGAGTGGGCCATCTAGACAGTGGACCGAGCGTAGCCGCTACCACGCTGTCACTGAAGTGGTGATGGGGACACCAAGCTAGGCCTCATCCTGCTCAACCTGCCCCTCTACTCAAGCCCCCAAGTCCTATGACCCTCTTAATCCTTGCTGTAACACACTCTTCGTAGATGACCTGTTCACGGTGATGAAATAGAAGGGGGATTCCTATAATAATAAGCTAGTCCTTCCCTTGCCAAAAAAAAGTATTTTGGTAATTACTGTATGTTAATATAGCCATCAGATGGGAAGAAATTACCTCTGAATTTATTTTTCAGTTTTGTTTTTGTATTTGAATCCAATTAAAACATCTGGAGAGCTAGATATAAATGTTATTCTAGGCTCTGTGACATACAAAGGAAATACCATCAGTCTGAGTATTAAAGTTGGTTCACTGAGTGTCATGTATAAGAGGGTATCAGACATGAAGCCCAATGGGGGAACCAGATTAAATGCAATTGGGAAATAGTTAACTTAAACCCATTTAAAATGCCACAAACATAGATAATGTTAATATGTGGTTTTCTAAAGTCGATATGCCGCCTTTCTTTTTGAGTTTGACACCGCTGGTGTAGACAACCTGATCCTCACACGTAATATTTCACATTTATGAAGGTTTTGATAATGAAAAGTCTCATACTCCATTTTAACTACGTCCAAGAGACAGGATTAAAGTAGTGCCTGTTGACAAGCCATACTTTGTAATATACCATGGTGCTCTGTTTGCTGGGGAGGCAGAGTCCAAACAGAGCAATTCACTTTCATGCAGCTTAAATTCAAAATTCTGTGTCCATTTAATTTATTTAAAACAAAATATATCTATAGTTAGCATAAATGTGTCATATTTTTTCATTTATCAGAATACCACACACTGGATCAACCCTCACTCAATCAACAAGCTTCAGCACCTACTGTGTGTCAGGCACTGTGCTAAGCACTCTGGATACAGAGACAATCAACCAATAATGACTTATTTGGCACCTATTGTGTGCCAGGTTAAGAAGCAGGGGATACAAAGAATGATACTCTCAAGAAGCTCAGATTCTTATGGAGAAAACAGCAAGTCTACATTTGCCTTTCTTTGTATCTCCAATGCTTAAAACAGTGCCTGGCACATAGTAGGTTCCTTTTTTTTTTTTTTTTTTACATAGTGGGTTCTTAATAAATACTTTTGAATATGTGTCTACAGAATTTATTTTGCACAGAAGCAAAAAGATATGCTCCTAGTAGCTTTAGCGCATCTGTAAAAGTGAAGGTTGGGTGTGTTTACTGTTGACTCTTGACTCACTCTTTATTTCTCTTCTGCCATCTTTCCAATGCAGGCCATGGAGATGCAGATCAAAAAGCAGTTTCAGGACACTTGCAAAGTCCAGACCAAACAGTATAAAGCACTCAAGAATCACCAGTTGGAAGTTACTCCAAAGAATGAGCACAAAACAATCTTGAAGACACTGAAAGATGAGCAGACAAGGAAACTGGCCATTTTGGCAGAACAGTATGAGCAGAGTATTAATGAAATGATGGCCTCTCAAGCGGTAAGCATTAGCCAGACTTCAGGAAAATATTCCCAGATGGAGCGGTCTTTCCAGACTCCCAGATCCCACAATTTCGAGAAGTTGATGAATAGCCTCAAGCCTCTCATTTGCTATCTAGTCGTTGGGATAATTGGGCTGATGGGGGTGTTGTTGTGTTCAGCAAGACTAATGATCCAACAGAAAGCCAAACCTAGAGCACGGGTCTTGGTTATCTCATCTGTAAAATGGGAGAGATCGACTCGATCCGCTGATCTCTAAGGTCCTTTCCAGTTCTGTGACACATGGCACCAGCAGGGCATTTGCTTAAGGCTATGTTTTAATGATGACCAGGGGAAATGATAAGCTAGGTCACCCCAATATCTACCTAGTCATTATCTTGTTGCCAGCAGGGACACCAAGGGGAAAATGCCTTCCCTAATATCACCTTAAAAGAATAATAACACACCCAAAAGAATAAGACTCTATTCAATAACACATGCCTTTCTCACACTCACTAAACCATTGGGGAGACCTCAGTAATCCCTTTGGTGAGAAAACTCCCTCCATTGCACAATATGCCAACTCCTCCATACTCTCTCCTGTGCAGTTTTTGTCCAAAACATCATGAAACCTCCATAAAGGATTTGCCCAATATGCTAAGGTCTTCCACTGCTGGGGTTTTTTTTATTTCCTTGTTTAATATTTTGTGGAAACTAGTACAACATTTGGCTTATCAGTGTGATATCTCTTGCTCTCACTGTAAGACTGCCCTCCGTTTTTTTTCCAAAGGTGCCCATGCCCTTGAAGTCTTCTATGCCAATTCTTCCATGTCCAGTTTCTAGATAAGAGCCTTCTTGTGCCCATTGCATATCTTTCCATTGTCTTGCTGGTAGCTTGAAATTTTGCTTCTTCAGAGAATACAAAATTCCTTGATTAAAATTCCTGGGGCATCCCTGGAGCATGCAGGTGTTAAAATAAAATGTGCTTGGGTGGCAGGAAGCAGCTAGGAATCACTGAAATACTATGTCATTTCCCAAATACAATCTGACGTGCCCTGCTCCTCCTATTCCATTCTGGACCCAACTTGTGTAGCTGCATTGCCTGTCCAAGATCAGTATACCAATGCACTAAATGATCTGACCATCTAACCAGTTAATAGGTCACATTCTGGGAAATGGGCTTTCTTTTTCTACTTGGTTTTTCTGGTATGCCTAGCTAGATCCATCTCTTTTCAATGTTTCAGTCCAATGTTTCCAGTAAATAGGAATATCCATAGAATTCTATACTCTAGAGCAGAGGTGTCAAATTTGAAGCCCCCATGAGCAGCCAGAACCAAATTATAAATGTAATTGGAAAATGTTAAACAAAATAAATAAAAATACAGTACAATGTGTTACAAATCTGTGGTTTTCAAAGTCAAAATGCAGCTACAGGAATCAGTTTCTATTTGAATTTGACACTACTGCTCTAGAACAGAAATCCTTCACCTTTCCGGGATCATGGATCCCTTTGGCAATCTAGGGAAGTCTTCTCAGATTTCCCTTTAAATTCATGGAACCCAAGTTGAGAACCCTTACTCCAAGAGGAATCCCTCTTCCATCTGGGCTTTGTTCAGGACATCTTCCATGACAGTAGCAAACACTTTTGGCAAAGATGTTTGGTTTATGTCTCATTTAATAGTGAGAATCAGAGGCTCATTGAACAAAGTCATCTCTGTAGAGTTGCAGCTATGGGTGAATCTTGTATGATGTTACCATACTCGTGAGAGATGGCTCATTTAAAGAGAGCCATATTCGCTATTTGCTCAATGATATGAGATAGTGAGCATTCCTTTAGTGTATGACTTGAGCTAGATTGCCACTGAACATCCCCTCTGACTCAAATTCTATGATTCCGTGCTTCTATGAAACCAAATACCTTCTTTCAAAAAAAAATCAACAAACATTAGACCAAATGGGATTTTATATTCTTTCTACCTCTCAGCAAACTGTATAGCTATGAAGCTATCTATCATCTGCTAGAAAAAATTATCTGTGAAAGCCTGCCTGTTCCTTTCTCTTACTTCCATCAAGGATTCCTTTGATATTCACATAGTTTATTCTTAGAAAAACTTTACAGAGATGAGAAAGCAGGCCTAGGGATTGCTAATTGCTCATATTATCTCAGTTGCCTTTTTGGGTAAAAATCAAATGAAACATCCTATATGACCTTTTGCATTCTCAAGGAATTTTGCCCTCTTTGAGATTTCTTGGAAAAGTGGTCTCCCTGAAAGCTGACTTCTCCAACCCAGATCTTCTCTGCATAGATGTGGTCAGAATTCTTTCCAGCTTCGGTGTCTTGAGTGCCTTTTTCCCTTCTTGAGATAGCCTACCAAAGATTGAAGGGTTAGAATCCAAACATGTTCACACCACTGTTACTCATGGGAAGATTCAATCACTAGAGGAACACCTCTACTTTTCATCAGTCAATCATCTGCCATCCACTTCCATCCATAAATGTTCTTGGGGTGATCAGGCATTATTTGGTCTTGTTACAAGCTTCATGCAGACTCTATTTCCCCTCCGCTGCTTTTCACCATTTTGTGAGGCAGTATCATTCAAAATTTTCCCTCATCATCCTCCTTAATGCTTGTCAATGAGCTTACTATTCAGAATCGGTGTTGCCCTCAGCAGCCGTAGCTCTCAGTTTGGTAAGGAGATCACACATTTGTTGGCGAAAGAAGTCCTTGGGTTCTTTTCCTTTCCTTGTGGTGATGTTTATATCAATGAATTTGACAAAAGTTTCAACAAACATTTATGTGCCGGGCAGTGGCCTAGGGCCTTGAGATTCAAAGATGCCAATGAAATAGTCCTTGCTCCCAAGGACTTCTAGGGAGATACAGTTTGTACCCACAATAATTTCAGGAGGGAGAGAACATTAAAAAGTGGTTGGATAAGGGAAAACTTCATGGAGCTGAGCTTCAAAGATAAGAATTCTGAAAAACCCAGATAAGGTTTCCAGGCATAGGAGACATTGTGTGCAAATTCAGAAGTGAGAAATGGAATATTGAGTTTGGGGACTAGAAAGGAGGAGGCCAGTTTGATTGGAATGGGAGGGTGCATGAAAAGGAATAATGGGAGATAAGTTTAGAAAAGGAGTTTGGGGTCTAATTGGGCAGGGTGGGGAATAAGGGCATCTAAAGCACCAATCTGAGTTTTGATGTTACCATCAAGTCAACAGGGAGGGAGGCTTTTGAGCAGAAGGCTGGGGGAGTGCCTGGTTAAACCTATGCCTTAGGAATGGCAATGGGGAGCAACAGTATATGACCTGGAGTCATTGATAAGTTGGAGAGCATCCAGGAATCTAATGTAGCCAGCTAGATAGTGCAGTAGAAGATAAATACTGGACTTGGAGTCAAAAAGACCTGGGTTTGAATCTGGCCTCAGATTTATATTCGCTATGTGACCCTGGAACTCCAGGTTCCTAATTTAGAAAATGAAGATACTAATACCTGTAGTAACTACCCAACAGGGTTGCTGTGAAGCTCAAATGATATAAAATAAAGCTTTAATAGATTAAAAGTGCACTGAGACTCTGGGGACACCCCGTCCCAAGTGTTTGGCCAACTTTATAGCCCTACCTCAATGGCAGTTATTGCTGCTGTTTTTATTATCATCATCATTATTATTGCCGCCATTACTGTTATTCTCTTGGAAGCTGTGTGGAGAACAGATTAGAGTTGGGAGAGCCTGGAAGATGAGAGACCAATTTAAGGAAGAGATTAAGGAAGAGATTATTACAATAAAGAGTCCAAGTGAGAGAGAAAAAGGTCCTAAAGCAGAGTGAGGAGAGAGAAGGGGACAGTGGCGTGAGATGTTACAGAAATGAGAAGGACTCCACCCCTGTGGAGGGCTGAGGGAGGAGGAAGAAACTCAGAGCCCAGAAGGAATCAAATCTAACCTAGGTTGTCCACTTGAAGGCCTCCATGATGGGGAAGCCATCACTTCCCAAGGGGAGCCACTCTCTTTTGCGTTGGCGCTCTCAGAGTTAGAATGGTTTTCTTCACGTCAAGTTCACCTTGTCCTCTCTGCAAACTCCACCTGCCATGACTCCTAGTTCTATTCCTTAAGGCCAAATGTGGCAAATCTGACCCTCCCCTTCAAGTCCTTGAAGAAGTCAAGGCAAGGCAAAATAGCAAGCATTTATTAAGCACCTAATACATCCCAGGCACTGTGCTAAGTTCTGGGGATACAAATAAAAGCAAAAAGAAAGACAGCCTCTGCCCTCAAAGAGCTTCCATTCTAGTGGGGGAAGAGAGGAGAGGAGAAGATGAATTGTGAGGAAAGAAATTGGGAGAGCCAGGAGCAGGGCCCAGAGAGGAATAAAGAAGGCCAAGCTGGGGGCCCTCCCTTAAAATGGAAGTTCTGGAAGGAAATGACCAATCAGAAGAAGGGGCTATGGGGCCATGGCAGCTTCCAAGGCAGGAAGGCTATTGGAGCATGGGGAAGAAAGAAGTCATCTAGAGAGTCAGAAATAGGGCCCAGAGGGGAATATAGGAGTGAAGAAAGCTGTTACATCCCTCCTGAGTCTTCTTTTCTGAGGTTAAATATCCTCAATTCCTTCGGTTGACCTTCATATGACATAAGCCCTTCAGCATCCTGGTTGCCTAACTCTGGGACAATAATAATAATAGCTAGCATTTACATGACATTTGAAGTTTGCAAAACACTTTACAGATAACATCTCATTCTATCTTCACAAACCCTGGGAGGTAGAGGTAGCTGCCTTTTATCCCTATTTTATAGATGAGAAAACTGAGACAAACTCACATAGCTAGTATATGTCTGAGGCCAGATTTGAATTGAGGTCTTCCTGACTCTAGGTCCAATGCTCTACCTTTTATGCCACCTAACTGCCTATAATGGATACTTGAAGGCTCTCTACCTTATCAGTGCCTTCCAAAATGTCCAAAACATAACTAATTCTCCAAATGTGGTCTAACTGGCACAGAGTACAAAAGAACTTTTGCCTCCCTAGCCTTG